TGAAGAATTAGTTTTCATGATTATTTGAGGAGACGATTAGACTAAAGCAGAAAGATAAAATCCAAACTCAAATGAAATTCATTCATAATAGCTTAGATTAACTTGTGAATTCAACTGTGAAAATAATTTGATTCATTCTTTGATAGACATGTTAAATATCGAAGGGTTCATTGATAACTCTGTTATATCAGTTTTTCTAATGTGGAAAAGGGATAGTAGACCTCCAATCACTGTTTGATTTTCATGAACTAAACAATTTTTAGAAAGTATCTTCGTCAAGTACAGTTTAATTCGATTGCGCGAAAAATAACCCTCAAATCTAAAATATATGAATTTATTGGATTAAGAACGAACAAGATACCTGTGGGATACAAGTTTTCACATTGAGTTATCAATACTTGGAACCTGTTACCCAAAGCATTAGTGTCCGCACCTTCAATTAACTCATTCAAGAGAAGACTGGACACTCACAGAAGCATACTAGAAAAGGAATGACATTGGTCGTAGGCCTTCTGTCCTTACTACACAAATCCGAAATTTAAATCTGAATGTTATATGACAGATCGGAAATGGTTGATTACTTAAAACAAGTATGTTAATATCTCAATATCATGATCTAACCAATGGTAATCAGATCTGATGGCAACTGTGATGTATTTTTTATCAGTCCGTTATAAACCAGTGATTGAAATCCTTAAATTTGGTCGATTTCCAATATAACACTACAGAAGTCAGGGTTTTTAATTGCTTTCTCGTCCCCAACTCTATCTTCATTGAAACTGTGTGAACAGACAATTTTCTTAAATTACACTTAAAAAAGAGCTATTTCCCCCAATTTGTAATCAATATAAACATACCCTTCCCTCCCAACCAACGTTTAACAAATTCTCTGACAGTTTTGTTCAATATGCCGTGAAAATTTGATATAACTCAGCTATCCCATATATCGTACAGATCATATTATTTCAACCTATAATTTTCCAGATTTCTCTTCAACCGCCATTTGAAATTGAATGGAATAGAAACTGGTTCAGTATCTGAAGTAGTCTTACTAGTAATAACGGTTTTTGAAAACGATCTATGCTTTTCATTGTATAAGAACTTAGGTTATTATCCTTATCTACCATTCTAAAATGTAAATTTATTACTAATAATAAGTGCGTTGTTTGTCAGTTTAAAACTGAAATGGATATAGATAGATTTACGTTGTCATATTTCACATTCAATAACATAGAAAGCAGTGAATCCGGGACAATAATGATGGAGAATAAACATCAATGAATCTGTCCTCATAAAGTTTCATTTAATGACTGTATTTGAGTGAAAGATAATCTAAAGTACTAATCAACTGTTCACAAAATCACAGTCGAATCAGTTAATTTTCTTTATATACATTAGTATAAGCTAGAATAAGCATGTCTAGGACTAAGTTAGTACACTGGTCATTTCGTATGACCAAATTAGTTACCAGATATATTCAATATCCGCTACCTTTTACACTGGCCCTTTTGATAATCACCATTATTAGTGTCAACCATTTATTTATTTATTCATTTAAACACATAAGCATAGGTACAAGGATGCACCAAATAGATATGCGCCACATAAATCATTCGATCTATGTGAGGGCTGATATAATACCCGGGTGCCCAAACCGAAGCAGGTGGTTTTCTTAGAGGGCCACACTCCGAGCCTTTGATCTAAAAGTAGTGGCGAAACATCAGGAAATGAAGTCCCAGGATAGCTGGTGACCAACAATTTGTACATACGCCATTTGTTTCCTTAGGATACTGGAGCCCATGTGCAAAATTTGTTTGAAATCAGGGTTTCTCAATTCCCCTAGGGGGATCATCCGTATCCACCAACCCGACTAAGGCGTCGGACATTCGCATTTTGTTCTTTCAAGTTCGTAAACAAAACCCCCACCATGAGAAGGCAGTGAGTAGGACTTGTGTGGCAGTGGTTGTATGCATGTGGCCACTTGAGAGCATTTCGAGAGGAAGAGTTGACTCTCCCCACTCTCCGCCGTACCAGGGCATTCGGGGGCTAGTGTAAACCATATTCAATTAGGTAAAACAAACGTTTGCCTGAATGCCAAGAAATCTTAAAGATTTAATTCTCTGCATTAGAAAATGAGTTGCGTATATCTTACTAGCTTCGAGGATCGACTGAGACCGGGTAAATAATTTTTCCGAATATGGAATTCAACTATACTAATGTTTTCTGATGCATACATAAGATATCGAGTCTGTTGTTTGTTGAATTGTCAAATTTTCCGACTGAATCTATAATTGTTAAGTAGTGGGATTCACTATATATAAACAACGACAGGTTTAAGGTCAACAAAAACCAATCAACATCGAGGTCTACAGGACAAGCAGTAAACCATATGTGGAGTAATCCGAACATTTCACTTCTACCTGAAGTTCCTACTGATGATGTTGTTCAGAAGAACACTGAACGCTCCACAACCAAACTATGCAACTCAGAGAACAAAACTTTAACAAAATCATCCATCTGAGCTATAAATCTTCTTCATCTCAACATTCACGTCTAACTGGTAAGATACATTTAAATCTCAAAATAACATTATTATAGTATTCCTTCAGAATGGCATCCAGCCTGTACGTTCGTGTTACACCTACTATAATGTTAAATCTTGATAGACAACAAGTTAGAGATAAAAAAACTGTAGTTTAAATTCACTTGGTGTTGTTTTTACTTGTATCTTCCCATTGTTATTTAGGACTGCAACTGATTAGTCTTTTTCTTATCGGCACATGTGCATCATGTGCTCATTGGCTCGATATAACCTTAATTCACAAGTCTTTTAAGCAAAGATGGATAGTGAATAGCAGTGGAATCTAGTCTGACGCGCGTTTCGTCCCATTCGGGACTCGTCGACTGGGTGTACCTGCACCTCACAGTTGATGTTCACTACAGGACCCGAACCCAGTATCGTTCGCTTCAAACGCCATCACGTTATCCATTTAGCTACTGAGTTCTCATAGCCACCTGTTTGTGAAATAGGGTGAAGTTTAAATTCCAAGCTGGAAGTATCTGGACGTATCCACCGGACGAGTCCCAAATAGGACAAAACGCTCGTCTTGGATTCTACAACTAGCTACTATTCATCTTTGCTTAAAAACAGTAGTTATTTAAAAGTTCACAAAATGGTTATTCTCTATAGTTTGTATTATCAAAAACAAAAATAAAATTAATAAAACTAGTTAATTAAGCGTAGGCTAAGATTATAATTGAAACTCAGTTAGTTTAGAAGTGTCCCTCTTCTTTTTGTAAACAACATAAAATTAACTTGTCATTCATATAAAGAATTTAAAAAATTTCATTGTAGTAATTCTCTTTAAATATCCATTGTCATTTGTATATAAACCATGAAGTGTGTCGATGTATAAAATATGTAACTTACTTTTTCATTTTGTTTGTCGGTTAAATATGACCCATCATTTTTGTTTACTTCATTGTTCATATTGCATCTATTTGTCTGTGAAAACAAAAAAAAAGTGCTTACTAGTTATATCGATAGTTGAGATTATTAGTCAAATAAAGATAGTCCATCATGGAAGTATCGGAAGTATCGGATGGACGTTTCGTCCCAGTGTGGCACTCCTTATCAGTGTGCATCCAACATCTCACCACCTCGCGAAGTTCTAACTTACGACCTATCAGTTTCACGCGTGAACGCTTAATCTCTAGATCATTGAGTCGGATGGCATCCAACGGTGTTAATGTCTGACTCCAACTAATTCACGAAATTGATTGTCATATTCATCATTGTCATTAGTGAGTTACCATCTCACAACAGACTTGGTTGAACTCCACTAGTCACTGCTTCTCATTAGAACCCCAGGTAATACCTCTTGAAGTCAGTCACTACTGTGCATATAATGATCATAATCAGAAGGAGTTTTTATGGATATTATAGTAATTTCAATTACTAGTTACATAAAATTTTCTAGCACAGTCATAGTATTGAATTAATTGGAAATAATCAAAAATATTAATACTTTTTTGAGTTAAAAAGTAACCATATTTTAGTCATTCCAGTTACTATACAAGTTAAATGATCAATGTTGTTTGACTATAAACAGTAGGAAACTAAAGATACTTGATACTTCTTAAAAGATTTATGATCTATCTTGATGATAAATATTGAATTATCACCAATTAGATATTAGCAGTTCACGAATCGAAATCTGAACAATGAACATTCTTTTCAATGCATATAGACATCCAACATAATGTTTCTGACTATACATTTTTTTGTGAGCTGTACAGCGAAACATTGTAAACTTTTCATAAATACACCTAAATAGGTTGAAGATGCCACAGGTATTTGGAGTTTGACAACACTTTAATCAGTAACACCTTATAATATGAATTATACACACCTGGTGAAATCAAAAGTCACAAGCGACAAAGTTCGAAGATATAATTGATAAGCTGTCAATATATCGAGAATCGACTAATCTAGACCATCTGGTGATTGCATGGGATGTTGAGGATGGCGTTCCCACTCGAGATCTAGTGTGGATACATGACCGAGCGCCTTCAACTAGGTGAGTTCATTAAAACTAATGTGGTCAGCATCCAATGTCAAAAAGTTACAGACCTACTGATTTTGTGGATTTATATATCACTACAAGGTTATGTAATTCTAAGCCATTATGATGTGTTAAAACAGATAAAACATAGGTAACTTGTTGAGATATGTTGATATGAGATACAAGTAGCCCAGATATTTAAAAAAACAGGCCGCAAAAGTCGATTACATTACGGTTAGTATGAGTGCTAAATCAGGTACTGAATAAGTGTAATTATTTATTCTGCTTTCACAGTATTTACCCATGATATTAAAGTCAACCAACACAAAATTGTTTATTTTTGTATGATTTATTCATTTTATTACTTTCTATGTAAAAAATAGACAAAGTTGTACTTTTACCAAACTTTCTTTTTAAACTAATAACATCGTATGATCAGATGAACTTGTTGTCAGTATAGTATGTTATGATTATTAGCAATGACAACGGTGATGACGGTGATAATGATGATGATGATGATGATGATGATGATGATGATGATGATGATGATGATGATGATGATGATGATGATGATGATGATGATGATGATGATGATGATGATGATGATGATGATGATGATGATGATGATGATGATGATGATGATGATGATGATGATGATGATGATGATGATGATGATGATGATGATGATGATGATGATGATGATGATGATGATGATGATGATGATGATGATGATGATGATGATGATGATGATGATGATGATGATGATGATGATGATGATGATGATGATGATGATGATGATGATGATGATGATGATGATGATGATGATGATGATGATGATGATGATGATGATGATGATGATGATGATGATGATGATGATGATGATGATGATGATGATGATGATGATGATGATGATGATGATGATGATGATGATGATGATGATGATGATGATGATGATGGTTTTATACTGCACAAATTAGCTTTTTGTGTAGAAAAGATATGACTATTAAAAGTATTTACATTGTCTTAATGATATATTATTTGTACCACATATTATGTACTTTTACTATTAGTCAGTTGTTTAAGTCAATAAAGTTTCATAATATCGTATGATAAAGCATAATACTTACCTGAAATCTTAACAAATAGATGTAATATGGAGTTGTCTATTAGCAAGTTAACAGTTTGTATAAACATGCATTGATTTAAGGGATTTCGTTATCGTTAAAATACTAAGATTCATAGACACACGGAGAGAGAGAGAGCATTTAATCTTTAGCCAAAGTTATTTTCATCAACTTATAAAGACTGATAGGTCCTGAGTTAGAATCTCGTGAGGCGGCAGGATGTTGGATGTTCACTGCCATGGAGGAGTCCGACAATACAACGGAACAGTCATCCAGTGCCTCCAGGTTTTCCATCATGATGTAGCTTCAATTAATTAATTCATGATCTCAACTATTGAAATAACAAAGAATGATCATTCGTTATCATCATAAATATTTTGAAAATTATAAACAATCTGAATTTTTAATTAACTTCAACTTTTAATAATAAAAATTAGACAGAATATCTGAGAAAATGTCAACCAATTTTGTTTGTTACTGACTTGAATTTATTAACTTTCATTTTGTAAAATACATTTTCATTCTTCTTAACCCCATGGCTATTATTGTTATTATTGTTATTATTGACTAGATTACAATGTGAATGTAATTCAAATAAAAGAGAGAAGAACCGGTGGAAATTCTCATGATTGTACTTTATGTATTATGCATAATAAATGTAAAGTGTGAACAAGGTTAATGTGAAACAATCAACAACAACAACAACAAAAAGAAAAACAACAAAAAGAAGCTTAAAACAAACAAAAGTAACAAATAAATTTATTTACACATGCATAAACATGTAAAATTTAAATTAAAATCAGGTTAATAATAATAATGATGATGGTGATAGTGATGATGATGATATAGTTAACAACTATCTCTTGTTGTATCATTTAAGGTCAATCGATCATGTGTAGAATTTGGTCTTAGAAATAAGAATAATTTTTCAAAGTTTTTTTTCTCTCTTTCTGAGCATAAATGTAGTTCGACTACTGAACAAGATTTTTTCATGTAGAGGTCATTTAAATCGATATCATTTATTTGGTTGACAATATCAATGTTATAAGTAATAATGTTTAATTTTTAATGTTGTGTAAAAAGCATTTTTTTTCTTTTCTTTGGTGTATTTTACTTGAAATGCACGGTGATTTGATTACGTGTGGTTTTAGAAAACAAACTCGTCCCGGAGGCGCTCCTCGGCTACTGCCGATCTCAAGCCCGGATAAAGCAGGACGGTTGGGCATGGGGTGAGAGACCCGATCCCGTAGAAAACCAACTACAAAAAGTGCTAACTAGAAAGAAATATTCAAACCATTTAAATTCTGCCTTCGGATTCAGAAGGTCTTCATTTAGAAGAGTTATGATTCGTCATGGTGAAAGCCGAGTTCCTTCAGAAGTCAAGAGGCTGATGCTATTTCTGACAACCAGAGCAACCATTTATTTAGGTACATGGAATGTTCGTACAATGTGGGACACCGGGAGTGTCTTCGAGATTGCTGTTGAAATAATGAGGCACAGCATGAAGGTGCTTGGAATCAGAGAAACACATTAGGCACAGGTTGGACAACAACGACCAGCTTCAGGGGAGCTTCAGTTATACTCCGGCCATGAAGAAGAAAATGTCCCACATACACAAAGAGCAGGCACAAAATGCACTCACAGGATTGGAATCTCATGGACCCAGGATCATCAAAGCCTCCTTCAAAACAAAGAAAGAGGACATTACAATGAAGGTCAACCAATGCTATGCACCTACCAACGACTACAATGAAGACGTTGAAGATCAATCCTATAATAGGCTGTAGTCGATCGTCGAGAAGTGCCCAACAAAGGACTTGACCATTCTGATGGTTGGAATGGACAACATCGGATATGAAGACATCATGGGACGACACGGACTGGGAGAAAGGAGCGAAGATGTTGGAGGATTCGCAAACCTATGTGGCTTCAATAAACTGGTCATAGGTGGCACTATATTCCCACATAAACGCATACACAAAGCCACATGGACCTCACTGGATCACACTATGACCACATCTACATCAACAAAACGTTTGGGCGGACGATGGAGGATGTGAGAACCAAGAGAGGAGCTGATATAACATCAGATCATCACTTGCTGGTCGCCAAGATGAAATTGAAACTCAAGAAGCACTTGGCAACGAGGTAGACAATATCACAAAAGTTTAATACGGCTTTACTTCGGGATGCTGACAAACTCAACAAATTCAAAATAGCCCTCAGCAATAGAGTCCAGGCCTTTCACGATCTACTCAATGGAGAGGATCTAGAAAGGGATAAAGGAGGCAATCACTTCAACATGTCATGAGGTTCTGGGCCACAGGAAGCACCACCACAAGGAATGTATCACTGTTGATACACTGAATAACATCCAAGAAACGAAGAATAAGAAGGCAGCAACCAATATCAGGCGAACAAGAACAGAGAAATCCAGGACATAAATTGAATACACAGAAGCAAACAAGCACGTGAGGAGGAGCATCAGAACCGACCAACGTAATTATGTGGAAGATCTAGCAATGACGGCGGAAAAGGCTGCAAGAGAAGGAAACATGAGACAATTGTATGACACAAAAAAGCTCGCTGGGAATGATCGTAAACCAGAACGTGCGGTGAAAAGCAAGGGAAACATAGTAATCACCAACATTGAAGAATAGCGAAACAGGTGGGTAGAACACTTCAAAGAACTTTTGAACCGATCAGCTCCACTAAACACACCCAACATCGATGCAGCACCCACGGACCTCCCAATCGATGTTGGCCGAACAACAATTGAAGTGATCGGTATAGCTATCAGACAAATCAAGAGCGGCAAAGCAGCAGGACCAGATAACATTTCAGCAGAGTCACTGAAAACATCAACTACATTGAATATGAGAAAGCATTTGATAGCATTAACAGGACAATACTATGGAGCTTTCTTCCACACTGCGGCGTGCCTCAGAACATGGTCAACATCATATGGAATTCTTATGATGGATTAAATTGCAAAATCATACTTGGGGAACAGCTCACAGACTCGTTTGAAGTAAATATCGGTGTCAGGCAAAGTTGCTTACTCTCACCCTTTCTCTTTCACCTAATGATTGACTGCATTATGAAGACGTCGACATCTTGGGGATGGGTGTAGCATGGGACACAATGAACATCGAGGATGCAGCTGGACGATCTAGATTTCGCAGATGATCTAGCTCTTCTATCACACACGCAGCAACAAATGCAGGAGAATTCGACCAGTGTAGCAGCAGCCTCATCAGCGGCTAGTCTCAACATACACAAAGAAGAAAGCAGGATTTTCCGATACAACACAACATGCAACAATCGAGTCACACTTGACGGAGAAGATTTGTATGGTGTAAAAACCTCAACATATCTAGGCAGCATCAATGATGAACATGGTGGATTTGATGCAGATGTGAAGGTACGGATTGGCAAAGCAAGAACAGCTCATCTACAATAGAAGTACTTCTGAAACACAAAACAACTATCTGTCAATCACCACCAAAGTCATTATTTTCAACACAAGTGTCAAGACAGTTTGTTCTATTGTATGGGTCAAGAACTTGGAGAAATTCGAAAGCCATCATCTAGAAGATACAAGTGTTTATTAACAGCTGTCTACGCAAAATACTTCGGATCCGTTGGTCAGACACTATCAGCAACAACGTACTGTGTGAGAGAACAAATGAGATTCCAAAGGAGGAAGAAATCAGGAAGAAGCGCTGGAAGTGGGTGGGGTGCATATTGGGGAAAGCATCCAACTGTGTCAAAATGCAAGCCCTCACATGAGATCCTCGTGGCCAAAGGAGGAGAGGAAGACCAAAGAACACATGACACTGAGATATGGAGACAGATTTGCGAAGAATGAACAACAATTGGATAGAACTAGAAAGGAATGCCCAGGACAGCGTGGGTTGGAGAATGCTGGTCGGTTGGTGTAAGCTCCATTGCGAGTAACAGGCTTAAGTAAGTAAGTAGGTAAATGTCTTCAGAGATTATTATTGTTCTCATTAAGATTCCAACCAACATACGGTCTTTCATACCTACATATCAAGAGAAAATCAGAAAGATCACACGATGTTATAAGCCTGAAAATTCGTTCAGATGCATTATTGAGTGACCTTTTGTAAGTGGATTATTCTTCTCATTGGATTATAGAATACAACAGAAATTATAAAATGATATGCAGTAGATTACTGTTTCAAGAACCTTTCCCTTTTTACAGTACACCACTTGTTTGATACTGTTCAGATAAGTTCATAGGCGAAAATGATAAATTTGTTCTGGAATACCATAAATGATCAATGGTTCACTAATCAGTCCCGAAAATATCAATAGAAAGAAATTCAAAGTCCTAATAATAATTATGATCTGGCTTTTGTAACCTAATGAATGATACTTTCACGTTTGAAGTGGTAACCATTTGGCTCAATACAAATACAGTATAAGTACATCCAGATGGCAGTTTTCAGATATAATAGATTGAAAACACAGAATCGAACTTCACTTTTTTATCAAATACACCTGAAGTTATCAATGGGATTTTTGAACCGTTTGTTTTATTATGGATAGGTTTCAATTATGTGTTTCACGGGAATATCATATGAGAATGAGGACACGGTGTAGTTTGTATTTTAAAATAAAAAAGAAATAATTTGTTTTTAATTGAGATCATGTACCGATTGATGTTAGACCACCATTGAAAACTTGGAAGTACTGGACGGTCAGTTCGTCATATTGTGGGACTCCTTAGCCGTGCACATCCACGAATAAATTATCTAATCTAAACCTAGTCATCTCATTTTTCATCCAAATTCCATATATCATTCAAGATAGCATTTCATAATGTAATTTTAAATGTCCATTTAAAAACATATGCTACTAAAGAATTATGAAGATTAATATCAAATGGGTTTTGTGGATATTATAGTAATTTCAATGGTTAAAATCATGAGTCACTTGAAGCTAGACTACCATGGAAAACCCGGAAGCACTGGACGACCGTTTGATCCTATTGTGGGACTCCTCAGCTTTGTGCATCCACGACCTCGTCCCCTGCGAGATTCG